GATGGCGAATAATATCAAGTTTCGCATTTTTTTAAAATTTTCGAGCGTTAAAAATTAAAAATTCCGATACATGAATTTATTCGTCGTCCAATGAGTCCTAATTCATATTTGTACGACCATTGGACGACGAATAAATTCATGTATCGGAATTTTTAATTTTTAACGCTCGAAAATTTTAAAAAAATGCGAAACTTGATATTATTCGCCATCCAGTGGTCGTACACGAACGAATTTATATTCATTGGATTCGTCCCACTGAGACGCGTCGAATGGTGCTAAGATCATGTCTCTAGCACCGATAGATAGCTTGCTAATTCCAATTATTTATAAATCATTTAGCGTGGGTTAACGTGTGGTCTATCGATGCTAGAGACATGATCTTACCACCGTTCGACGCGTCTCGTCGAGAGGAATCCAATGATATATAGCTCGACTTTGTACGATCACTAGATGGCTGGCTATTCGATTTTTCGCATTTTTATAAAAAATCGGATTAAACCGAACTGAACCGCCGGTTTTTCGGTTCTAATACCTGAACCGAACCGAACCGAATTTTGAGCCGGTTTCGGATCGGTTCCCCGGTTTGGCCTGAACCATTTGGAGCTTTAGAGGTGGGTGTTCCTTCGGGAATTGCATAACACTAAAAAGCGGTATGTAAAAAATATGTCATGTATACAACCCTTTGTATGTCACGTATGGTGTTGTATACACGTATACGTATAGTTATTTTTTTTACCATACGTACATACATATTTATTATATTATAAATATTTATTTATTTATTTATTTATTTTATGTGAAGCAGGGAGAGAAATACAGTATACAAAGGCATGACTAAATATAGTACAATCTAAACGAATTTACCATTGACTAACAGAGGAGCTGAAAACCAACCCTAACTTCCTGAAAAAAAAGACCTGAACCACTACCACGTCCGATAAAAGTCCAGGCAGACACACTGGGAAAAAATAAAAAAAGTGGAGAGGACAAGTCCTCTTTTCAAGAAATTGTGGCACTACACATAAATATATTCTATCCTAAAAATAATACAATTCTGAAATTTGTAAAACCGCTAATAAAAGCGTAGGCTAAACTAGTTTCTATAATAAAGTTAAAATTTCTGCTAAAACCGCCTTGTTGTCTTTATTATTACGTACCCTTTTTCTTCGAGAAATTCTTTGCCTTCTTCTGAATATTTAGGTGTTTCTTCTCCTGGTTATTATTTTAGAGACTGCTTTCAAGGACGAAGGTTTATTCTTCTTCTTAGGCTGATTACGGTTCAAATTCTTATCAGACTTACCTGACTTTTTCGTATTCAGTGTATTTTTAGCCTTCGGTTTACTTTGTGCTTTCTTCAAGGTAGGAATGGAGTGTCGACACCATTTCAACTCCTTACCATCAGGTACGAAAAACTGTGGCGTATCTAAGGCCCTTAGTGTAGTCTCCCAATTCTCAAAATAGGCCACAAGTTTCCTCCTTCCTTTGCTTGTTTGAATTATTTTAAACGAGCTAGCATCGCACTTTATTAAAAATTCACATGGTTTACGATCCATCCACAAGGTAGCCATCGTCATATCTTCTGGAATGTCATGAATGACAGCTTGGAACTTTTCACGTTGTTTTCTTTTTCGTAAAGTCCAACTCGCAGGGAACCATCTAACGGGTATACCTCCCAGGTCTGTCGTCCAATATTTGTTAAATTGGGGAAGGGCAAATGAGGATAGTGCTATCTTGACTCGAAGAGTCTGATACTTGTGTTGACATTTAACGGAACACTTGATAGTATTACCTCAAAATTTTAACTCTGCTATAATTTTCTGCAGGTCTCAGGTATACGGGATATCGTAAACTATTATGTCTTGGATTCGCTTAAGCTCCTCTCTGACAGCTTCGTATCCTCTCAGTATCTATGTAGCTTCCAGTTCAGATGATTTCTTTTCCTTATGGAAATTTTTGGCCGATGTTTTCACATCAGGTTTTGCCTTCGTTGATTGGTTCGTGATTTGTTTATCAGCTGTAACATGTTCCTTTTGTTTATCTTTCTTCTAGGAGTTTTTGGGTATTACAGTTTGATCAACAGGGTCATTACTAAATCAGGCATTGATGGAAGCTTGATTGGTACTAAATTTGGTGGTTTTTGTAATCTTTGGCGTATAAGATCATCTCCATCAAGCGTTAGTAAAGGTGACTCATCCATCAGATAATCATCAATATTCTGAGATTCTGCATCATCGTCATCATCATCATCACCCATATCGCCAAAATTGCAAAAGAATTGGGTAGAAAAATTATCCCAAGATCTGGACGCAGCATATAGCGCTATAGAAAATATTAGCGAAAGGGTAGTGGGTTGTATATTCATAGTTTGAGCTTGTGAAGTGAAGTTCGCAGGGTTGGCTGACTTGCCAAACTTCTGTATCAGTAACTGGCCTTTATCATTAGGTACTGAGGGGTTTTTTTCAAATAAGTCCTTGAGGAAACCGTCCTGTACAAAAGAACTTAAGTGGTATGTTAAAGTTTGAAAATAAATTTCGTTAAACTTGGAAACGAAGTCTAAAGCTTCTTCGTTAGGTGTTCAGCTCTTATTCATAGACATTTTTATATTTATGTAATAAAATTTAATAAAGGGGATTATTATTTTTTTTAAAAAATTATTACGCAGAAATTTTCGTAAAAAATGTATTCGGGAAAGAGTTATTTGGTGCATCTTATATTATAAATATTAATAAAAATGTACGTATGTATGTATATATAGTGAAAATCATGTGACCATAAATTGTTACAATACAAATGTAACGTAAATTTTTTTTTAAAAAAATTTTTTTATGCCTCGGCAGTTAAAACAGTTTATTTTTACAATTATGTGCTAAAGTGCATGGCGACCATTTAGTCGTCATATTTTAAAAATAAATTATACATTTTTTAAACTTTATTGAAATTTTATAAAAACATTAATTAAACTTTTTGTTTTTACTAAACTTTCTGTTTTTGTTGAAGATTAGCTAATTCCAATGCCTCAACTTCAGCTTCTAGTATTCTAACTTCGATTTCAGCAGTTCGTGCTTTAATAGTACGCTCTCTTAACCCATTTTTCTTTCTTCAATTTATAATTCAAGTATTTCATTATCATTTTCAGAAGGTTCTTTTCTACTTTTTTTTGAAGATTTCCTATTAGTAGAGGGAGAAAGTTTTCTTTTTAATGAGGATTTATTGGATAACTTGTCATTGGTTAAATCAATAACAGATTCTTTATTTTTTTGATTATGAAATCCTATATATATTAAAAAAAGTTAGTTTTTATATAAATTAATAACTGATAATTATTTTTGTGTTTATTATTACCTTTACGTGTTATTGATCCACATGTTCGTTTGATTTCACTTTTATCTATATGTGTATAAGAAACACCTGCTTTATTGTGAATTTCAATCGTTTTATAACACCTTTCATCATATCTTTTTCCCCTTTACAAAATAAAAATGTTTTAATAATTATGTATAATAAAAATTATCAAAGAAAATATAAAATAATTCACCTTAAAATGGCTGATAGTAATTTTAATTGCTTTCCCTCTCTATTTACCATGAAATGAGCTGCTTCTGCATTATTTGTATTTCCTCCACTTTTACGCCAAATCTCATAATCAATATTTGAAATAAATTGATTTAAAGAGGACAATACATATGGTTGTTTATAATATTTTAACTAATCTACGAAAAAAAAATATATTTATTTAAAATAATATATTACTTAATTTATAGTATTAAATAATTTAATATATACCTTCTATTCCATCATCATTTGTATCTTTTATTTGTTGTAACAGAATATTTACTTCATCTTTACTAGATGTATTAGGAATTTGTCTTATTAGATTTTTTGTATTCTTTTCAAATGCTTTATGATGTAAATTACTTGAAAAAAATAAATAAATAAATTAATTAAATTAAATAAATTAATGCAAACATTTAAAGGTTTATAAACTAATAAATTAATAAATACCGTTCAAAGTGCACAAGACAAGATTTAAAAATAAAGGTTAAGTGAGTCTCTTAATCTCTTTTATGATCCAGATTATGTAAAGCTAATCCTAAACCTTTGGCTTGTGCATTATCTAAATCTGCCAAAATACATCCAATACCTTCTTTGTGAATATGTTGAAACTTAATGTGTTGTCCACTTATTTCATAAATTACTTGAAACAAAGATGAAAATAACCTATGATATCCTTCAGCTGTAAAAACATTTGTGAAAACTCTACAAAATGACAATACTTTAAAATAAAAATTATATATATTTAATATATATTTTCTAATATATTTATTAAATTGAATTTAAAAAAAAAAAAATTCACTTACTTAAATGATGATTAGAATCATATGTATTTATTTCAAATTTATTAATCTCTCCTTTTACTCGTTTGAAACTAACATCAATTTGAAACCATTCAAGTGCAATCAACCTTATTTGTAAAAAGATCTAAAAAATAGTAATTATTAATTATATAATTTACAGATGTAAATTAAATTTAAAAACTTACCAATTTTATGAACATAATTAGATAAATTAGAATTTGCTGTTAATACATTATGATATATACCCATTACTCCTTGACCAAATGGATGCAAATTTTTATAGGCTTTTCCTATCAAATAACGTAATTTATCTATATTATTCAATGATACATGTACTTCTGCTAGGATATCTTTGTTAAAATATGCTTTGATTAAATTTCCTATTAATTAATATAGTATATTAAAATATTAATAATACAACAATAATAAAGTATTCACTAAAATTCAATATTATACCTGATATAATAGATCTTGAAGTGGTAGTATCATCCTGATAAATTGCCTGTTCAATTAAAGATTGTAAATTGTTTTAATTCCAGCAGGTGTTCTTTCTGGAGGAGGTGAGGATGGTTGTGAACACCAATACAAATAAGAGCAACAAATGGACATTTAGCAATATTGTGAGGAATAATTTTGATAAATTGTACTAAGCAAGATTTTTCAATTATATCACCGCGGACAGCAGTTCCATTGTTTAAATGAGGAATATCTTAAATTCAAAAATTAGATAATTATATATATGGCACTATATATCAAAATACAATATAAGACTAAATAATTAGATACATTACCACATTTTTTGCATCTACAATTTCTAGGAATTATTATACTACAATTTGCCATTTCTCACGCCTAAAATAATTAATTTAGTTTTTAGTTTTAAAAAAAAGAAAATGCAAAAGATTTAAATTAAGAAGTAGTACTTACAGATGCAGTACCAGAAAATAGATTTTGGAGAAGTGAAATATCTATTTCTTCTGGTTTAATTTTAATAAATCGATGCCATTGATCACCCTGTTTGAATTTATCACATCCAATAAAATATGTAACTATTTGAGTTTAATAATTAGTCATTCTTCCAATACGAGCTCGTCCATCACAAGGTATATTCTCTTTTTTAAAAGGGCAAGAAGATTCTTTTACTGCCAAAAATAAACTAAATAAATTTATAAATCATTAGTTCAAAATAATAAACAAAATCAAAGGAATAATTGTTAATATCTTACGTGTATGTTTTAGCTTCTTTGGAATTAATGTCTTGCTGTTGTGTATACTTTTTAAAAGTTTCTGAATCAAAATCAACGCTACAATGCTCTTGGTTGACAAATTCTTGATCAGTAAACTGACAGAATTTAATGCCCTGGCACATTCTTTTGTCTTTTTTAATTGATATTCCACCAAAAAAGGGACACTCCTTAATATTTGAAGAACCACCTGAACCATTTGTTGAATATTGAATCTTATCATAATAATAGAATTTTAATTAAATATATATATTTGCTATGAAATCAAATTCAATATATACTTACATCTGAAAAGGCATCCATGTGATTCTTCCAACCAGTAACATTGTATATTGTTGCAACTCCCTCCAGTGAGGTTTCTGGGTATTCTACAGGAACAGTTGTATAGATTATTTTTGGAACTTGTAGTTTGGAAGTAAAGAAAGCAACTGTTCCATTATTTTCATCATCTTCACTTTTATCTTCATTAATATCATCTCTATCCTATTTGATTTTATTTATTAGAAAGAATAAAATATTATCTTATTTCACACATTATTTACCTTATCTTTATTAACTATTTTTGCAACATCTGCAAAATCTTCTGCATTATATTCTTCAATATCTGAAAGCTCAATAATAGATGACATTGTAAATTTGTAATTTTGAAAAATGTAAAATTGGAATAAATTGATTTTTTTTAATAAAAAAAGTATTTTGACACGTTACATTATTTAGTACGTGTTTTTGATTTGTGATCAAAAATAAGTTACTATTCAACTACTTACCATATTTATTTAAAATCAAGTTGGATAATTTTTTTTTTTATTTTTTAAGATAAAGACCAGTATTGGGGTTGCACAATACATAGGAACTGGAACCTACAAAGTAAGACCATTATTCCAAATTAATGATCAATCCAACCTCTCGAATGAATCGAAGGGGTTGCCTAGCCTCGCTCCACAAGGAACGCAGGCTTGGCCGCAACTCAAGCTACGAACCAAATAGAACAAAAAAAAAGACATCCAAACACTAATTTAGCGAGAGTTCCCAGTCAAAAAAGAAAAATTAATTAATTCTGCCTATTCTGAATAAAATCTATTATTCTATATAACTACTAAATCTTTAAGAAAAAAAGTAAGAATCGCCAGCATTTAACCAACAGAAATATAGCTATACTAATTTTTGCAGTAAGGATAAAATTTCTGCTAAAACCACCGTGTTATCCTTATTACCTCCTTTATTCCTGGACTTCTTATTGGACTTCAACTTCTGGGATTTGGGATCCTTCAACGGGTCTTTAGTAGAGTTGGCTTGTTTCTTAGCACTAGTCGAGGATTTCTGGTCCTTCTTTTTAAGGTTAACATTACCAGACTGTTGTGCAGTTTTTCTGGGCTTCTTGTCAGGAACATTCTTCGCCTTTTGCTTGGTTGGTGCTTTCTTCAAGGTAAATAAGGAGTGTCAACACCATTTCAACTCCGGAGAATTCTCCCAGAAAGCTTGCGGAGTTCCTAAGGCTTTGAGCGTAGCCTCCCAATTCTCGAAATATCCTACGAGCTTCCTCTTACCTTTACTTGTTTGTATAATTTTAAACGCGCTAGCACCGCACATCGCTAAAAATGATTGTGGTTTTCAGTCTGCCCACAAGGTAGCCATCGTCATGTCAACCGGAATATCGTGAATGACAGCTTGAAACTTTTCACATTGTTTCTTTCTCGTAAAGTCCAACTTGCGGGAAACCATCTCACCGGTATACCTCCCAGGTCAGTCGTCCAGAACTTGGTAAATTGGGGAAGGGTAAATGAGTTTAAAACTATTTTGACTCTAAGAGTCTGATATTTGTGTTGCCGTTTTAATGACAACTTAATAGTTTTGCCCCATAACGTTAATTCTCCTAAGATTTTATCAACATCCCAGGTATACGGAATGTCATATACAATAATGTCTCTGACTTGCTCTTGCTCGTCATCGCTTTCTTTGTATCCTGTCAGTATATGTGTGACCTCAGGTGCGGTAGTTTTTGCCCCCAAAAATAGGGTATTTTGTTTGTCTGGGGTTTGTGCCTCAGGATTTGCTGTAAATGATTGGTGTATGATTTGTTTATCAGCTGTAACACGCGCCTTTTGTTTATCTTTCTTCCGGGAAGTTTCAGGTGTCACAGTATGATCAACAGGAGTCATTTCCACATCTGGCAGTATTGGAGGTGTAACATGTACTGGTTTTGGTGTAGTTTTCGGTGTTGATATGTATGTAGATCCAAATTCGTCTTCAGCAGAGGGACATTTCGACTCTGAGTCACCCATGTCACCAAATCTAGTATAGGCGCGGGTAGCAAAATTATCCCATGACCTGGACGAAGCGTAAAGGGCTATAGAAAATAATAGTGAAAGGGTGGTTGGTTGTATATTCATCGCCGCCGCCTGTTGAGCGAAGTTGTTCAGGTTGGCAGACTCGCCAAACATATCTACTAAAAGCTGTGCTTTATCCACAGGTTGCTATGGGTTTTTATCAAACAAAGTTTTGAGGAAACCGTTCTCAACAAACTGTCCAAGCTGAAATGTTGTATGAGATAGGAACGTTTCCCCTATCAAGTTGGATAATTGATTTATATAGATATAAGGATGTAAAAATTATTAATTATTTTAGTACATTGTGGTCAAATTTTGATTTAAGAATAAAATCAAATTGCTACTTCTTACCATTTTAGATACTAACAATTGTGATTTTATTTAAAATAATCTTTAATAAATAAATTCCAATATTTACAGTGATTTATGGAAAAAGATTCCAATATTATAACAATATAATTGTCGTGATTAAAGTAATAGATCAGTAATCTAAAAAATTACATATTTAATAAATTAACTTAATTTGGTTAATAAATAATTAATAGACCAAGTAATAAATTTTCTCACTCCTATTCAATTTGAATACTGTAAGATTGAAAATTCAGCTAGTTATATAGTTTGATGTTGTACAATAAATCAGATATATCAAATTATCAATTGATTTAACTTGATTTAGCATATTAAAAAAAATACGAATATCATTTTTTTTTAAAACAAAAAATATTGTCTTGTCCCAATTACAATTAGTTTATGATTACATCAACAAAAATTAATTATATTTGTTCTATAACCAGTTTTTATTTTCTCATTATTAATCGTTGAATGCAATGTTTTAAGTCAATTAATTAAAAAACTAATAAAAAAAGATGGTCATATAAGTAGGTTAAATAATAAAAAGGTCATATTTAGTTTTCACGTACATGATAATGAAAGAGATGCTGAAAGATTAATTAAAAAAATTAATGAATAAGCAAAAAAAATGAAAAATTTTATGTAAACAAAAAATCTTCATAAAGTTACAAGTTCAAAGGTCTACCTCAAAAACATTTCAATTATTTGATCCTATTTAGATGACGCCAAGTTAAAGTTAACATTGCAAATTCTTTTTGTTCAGTTTCTAATTCTTAGCATTGCTTAATAGCCTTTGTACCTTTTAATTCTTTTAAGATTGTTAATGTTAAGATTGTTACATGTTTAGTTATAATCTGTTTTTGCTTAATTTATTTTTTTATTTTTGACGTGCTTTTCTTTCTTTAAAACATTAAATTGACAATTTGGGTTTGTTTTTAAAGTACTTTGTTGCAACAAAGCACGTCAAAAAGTTTTTTTTTAAAATTTTTTTTTTTTTTTTTGCTATTTGTATAGCATAATACTGTATAACTGTATAGGTAACAATCTATACACAATAATTTTATTTGTCGATTGTCATGTATGGAATAAAATTGTTACATGTATGATGCACATCACCATACGCTACATACATAGGTGTCTATACGTAATATCTTTTCTATATAATCCTAAAAAGTTTCCCATCAGCTGGACTGCACGACACTAAAAAGTTCCTGGAGGCCTTTGTGAAAATAGGTTTGTTATCCATAGTATGTAGTTAAATAGGAGAAATTGAATTTTATGCGTTTCTGATAGTGCTAATGGTAGCTCGGAGGTTCTTTACCGATTCTAGGAGTGTAGATGGGTTACGTATAGCATAGTCAACTTTACCCATTTTGAAATAGATTTGGGGTAGTAGCTGTAGTTATTTATATAGAGAGGGTGGGGTTTATAATCTTAGCTTTTCTTTATTTGTAATTCTGGAAGATTATTTGTTTTTGTTTTTCTATTAGTTCTGCACTTGTTGTGGTTCTTTTTAGAATACTCTGTATTCTCTAAAGTGACTTATGGCATTAATTAATAAAATTCAAGCTCAAGCTATGTTTGTCTATAGTAAAATATCAGCATAGTCGACTTTACCCATTTTGAAATAAATTTGGGGGAGTAGCCGTAGTTATTTATATAGAGAGGGTGGAGTTTATAATCTTAGCTTTTCTTTTATTTGTAATTTTGGAAGATTATTTGTTCTTTGTTTTCTATTAGTTCTGCACTTGTTGCGGTACTTTTTAGAATACTCTGTGTTCTCTAAAGTCACTTCGGCATTAATTAATAAAATTCAAGCTCAAGCTATGTTTGTCTATAGTAAAATATCGTTCTTCTTTTGTCTACTCTAATAGCCAGCTTTATTATAAAACTACGAATTTTGAACTTTGGGCTATTATTGAACGAACCATCCTCTCCAAGAATTTGACTGTTCTTCCAATCAAAGTCAAAGCCCATTCTGGCAACTATTTGAATGATTTTGCCAATTTCTTGGCCAATATTGCTTATACCTCATCATTTAGTATTTTAATCTCTGGCTTGGATCTTGCCTCTGCTCATGATTTTGTCTTAACCTATGATAATGATGTCATCTGCGAGTCTAATCTGAGACATCTTTTTAAACAATATTATCAAACGCAGTTGATGTGTGAGTTATTACATTTAACGCGATTTCACTTCACTTCTTTATTATCATCTAATATAAATTACATTGTTGATTGGGATCTTACGTGGTTTACTTTGAAATTTGAATCTTCTCATGATGCTTCTTTTACCTTTGAACATGCTTCACGGCACCATACCTTCAAATTCTTACTTTTTTTGGATGAATTACCCACGTTGGAAAAGCTTAAAAGAGCACGTCCAGACTTATACATGGACGAATTAACTTACCGTTCCTGTATTGACTGCATGGAAGACTTAATGCACCTCTTTATGTGTAGATGACGTTGTTTGCCTATGCAACAAATTCTCCAAGAAGCCAGAAAACTGGCTGATATTGATCCTACTCCATTTATTACCAAACTCGCCTTTTTTTCATGTTGGTCCTTTTCCTCTACAAATTGGTCCTCCTATGCCTCGATTTATCTATTCCTCGAAATTCTGCGATGAAGGTTGTCACTGCTATCCATAACAATTTTGTTCAAAAATTCAGAAGACGAATTTGGAATCCGCGTTCTTATGACATCTATAGATGGAAAATTTGCGATGAATATTACTTTTAAGTTGAAAACTACTCTTAGGCCATCTAATTTGCCATTGACAACATACACACCTTACTCATCTTTACCACCCCGACCCTATCTTTCCAAGCGTCGCCCCAAGATTTTTCACCTCTACGTGACCTGCATAAAATGTCACCCCACGTCACACCTCACCATTTTCATTTTTTCATAAGTATTCTGGGGACTTTCATGTGAGGGTGGAATTTCACTTAGAAATCTTGGGGTGATGCTGGGTAAATCTCCAACCCTACATGATTCATGTGACTCCAGAACCGATTGGTTAAAGAATTCGATAAAATATGGTTTGCCTTGGTTTAATCACTTTTAGGGTTTTATGGGTCGTCTAATGGTGCTACTTAATAACAGCTTTTGCAGGATGTTATAGTTGGCGCGCTATTCGTTATTTTGTTAGCATAGTTGCTTCTACTTTGATTGGAATATATCAAGGGGGAAGATCTGGGGAAATTTATTGTAATGCGATTATTCTTTTTAGATTAATTTTTACTTTATTTTTTCTTAGGAGACTATATAGCTTTGTTTTTAGTTAGTTTTATTTTTTTATTTTTCTTTTTATTTTTGTAAATTGTAAAGTTTGAATAAATTTAATAAAGATAAGGCTACTATGCCACATTTGCCTATAGTAAAATATCCTTTCTAGATCACTCTGTGTTCTCTAAAGTCACTTCGGCATTAATTAATAAAATTCAAGCTTAAGCTATATTTGTCTATAGTAAAATATCGTGGTTTTCTCTTTTTTCTTTTAAAAAGGATTATATCGCTTGCACTATTGCTCTCTTGAATTCTACTCCTTTACGCCTGCTTCAAACCCAACTTTTGAAGCTCCCAAATTTATCTTTGCTTGATGGACGCATTCCTTTATTTGATTACATGATGCCCAAAGCTTTTAAAGCTTATTATCCTATCCTACGTAAATGACAGCTGTTTTATTTATCTCAGCTCGTAACTCCTCAGGTCACCCATTTAATTTCTTGGAAGGCTTATTATAGCAATCTAGTTGGACAATGCAGCCCTGACCACACTCCCTTCTGGTACAAGGACATCCAACGACAAACTACTATTAGTTTTGATTCTAATAATCGTTTAGTCGATGGATATATCATTCCTTTACCTGTGAACAACCCCACATACTTTGACCTTGAATCCTGCCTTTCTTCTCCTCCTACTACTATGAACTGGATTGTCACGTTGGATGAATTTGGTTCTCCCATTTTTGGTAAACAACTTTTGGTCCAACCTGTTCGTGGCATCTGCTCCATTGTACATTGGATTTCTCCTGATTGTGAATCTTCACCTGGTGATATCATTAAACTTCTTCCCTGCCCTGGTTGCGCTGCCCATACTCCTTTACTTCCTTCTAAAAGACGGAATGCTGATTTGACCCTTTGCACACTTACAACATTCGCTCATCCCGCCTACCATTAATGAGCGGATTAGATGTGATACAACCAAAGTGACTACCCCTTTTACTTGGACTGATATAGAAGATGGTGTTCATCTCCATTATAATAGATGGGATATTGCTCCTAATTTCTCCCCTATAGATGCCATTGAGGCTTCTGTTATCCCTACCACTGTTGAATTCTCGGCTGCCGCTGTTTTTGCTAACTCTCCTTTAATTCCTTCCACGGATTCACGTTACTTATTTATTTATTTTATGTGAAGTCGGGAGGGGATACAAAATGGGCATGATTCCGCAGTAATACAACCCAACTAAATCCTACCATCAAATTCCAGAGGAGCCGGAACCCAACCCTAACTTCTTGAAAAAAAAAGACCTGCACTACTACCACGTCTGATAAAAGTCCAGGTGAAAACACTGGGTAAAAGAAAATAAAAGTGGAGAGGACAAGTCCTCTTTCCAAGAAATTTGTGGTATGACACATAAATATATTCTATCCTAAAAATAATACAATTCTGAAATTCGTAGAACCGCTAATAAAAGCGTAGGCTAAACTAGTTTCTGTAATAAAGTCAAAATTTCTGCTAAAACCGCCTTGTTATCTTTATTATTACCCTTTTTCTTTGAGGAATTCTTTGCCTTCTTCTGAGTATTCGGGTGTTTCTTCTCCTGGTTATTATTTTTAGAGACTTCTTTCGAGGATGAAGGTGTATCCTTCTTCTTAGGCTGATTACGATCCAAATTCTTATCAGACTTACCTGACATTTTCGCATTCAGTGTATTTTTAGCCTTCGGTTTACTTTGTGCTTTCTTCAAGGTAGGAATGGAGTGTCAACACCATTTCAACTCCTTACCATCAGGTACGAAAAACTGTGGCGTATCTAAGGCCCTTAGTG